ATGCCGGTCCTCGCTTTTGAGTCGAGGGTTGCCAACTGAAAAGCAATCAGCGTCTCGGTAGTATATGGAGTAGACGGGGGGGCAGGTGGGCCCGGTATCATAGGTGTCCTTTCTAGGTGAGTTTAAAATGAAGGAGAAACAAAACAAGCAAAAAACAAAAAAAACACCGGGGGGGAGGTATTCTATTGAACCTTGAGTTTGTGGACGACTATGGCAGTGCCGGCAGCGTGATGTTCGAAGGCTTCGGACCCATCGTCGTGCCGCCCTCGGGCGTCGTGTCGGCACTGGTGACGCCCACCATCGGCCTGAGCCTTGGCGTTCTCGTCACGACTCAGTTCCCAGCCATCCGGTTCCTTCGTTTATTTGTTTGCCTCATCTTGTTTGGCTTTGGTGACCACATGTCCATTTCGCCCACTAAGAGTCAAGCTGTCAGCGGGGGATCTGAGGACAGCCCAGAAAACTCCACCCTCTTCGGCGGTCCCAAAAGGTGGCTATAGGGTTTTGTGGTCCTATTCGCCAAGAGTGGCATGTTGGTACCTGTTTTTGAGCCACAGCCATGTTTTTCGGCGGTCCCCACTGGGCCAACATGGGCCAAGGTCCCAAAAGGTGATCACCCTTGATTTCCATGGGGCATTCGGGTGAGGATTTCTATTGTCGCGTGGATCTACATGAAGCAGCTGTCGCACAAGTTGAAGCAGCAGCATATTCACCAGCCGCACCAGACCGAGCGGACCATTGTGCCACGATGGTCAATGGCACCAGACGTCATGGACATCAGTAAAGACGACGACATCAGTCAAGACAACGATGAGTATAGCCGCGTTCTTCCGGGCGAAGTCCGGGTGGTGAACGTGGACAGCGACGACGACAACGGTCGGCTCTCATTATGAGATTTGTTTCTGACGCGTTGCCGTGCTGCCAAATACCGGATGGGACCTGGACCTCTGTTTCGCCCGATCACCCAATACGGGAAGCGCTTGACCTCTTGAGTTGGCGAATCCGCCTTGGGGTTTTGATTGGGGTTTCTTCATTTCGGCCAAGGCCCAAAGCGAATCGACCTTTTTTTTAGTTTGCCCTATTCTTGGTCTAGTGAGCAGAAGGGCTTGTGACCTTCATATCCGGCGTGTTCTCTGAGGCCAAAAGGGCCAATCGAGGCGAAGCCATCCAAAAGAGGAAAAGTGTTCAGCGCAGCCCTCGGAAGACAGTTATGTGTTTGAAAACCCAATCCGACTGCGGTTGGGCGGTTTACACCCAAGCTTTCACAAGTTTTGAGTCTTGTTCATTTTTAGCAGGGGGCTGCAAAAGCAAAGTTTGTTGCTAACATACCAAGGGTTGTCAAGTGCGCCTTCTATTGAGGTCTCTGGCTGCAAGAACCTAACGCAGACCCGGAAACCGAGAAGTGCTATGAGGGTATGTTCTCCTGGTTTTAGGGGGCCGGGGTAGCCTTTTGGGGTTGGTTCAAAGGAGAGCCAACAGGAAACCAGCGATAGTCTCCATGACCCTTCAACAATGGGGTCATAACCCCTTTATTTTGGGTAGTGACCCCATTTGTTCAAGGTCATGGAGACTCCAGGTACTCCAAATTGGTTGGTGATTCGGCGTAGAGAAAGGGGGAAGGCAAATGAAACTGAGACATTTTTTTGGAAGCACATTCTAGAACTTCAGGCGATGCACAAGCACATGAAGCTCATCCTGGATCCATTTAGGGGAACCAGCCGATACAGAAACCAAAAGGGAAATAGGTTAATTACCTACTCTAGGGCTTGCCTGGGAATTCAGTTATGAATTCGCAAGTGGCTTGCAAGCGCTCCAATCATGCGCGTTGCAAGGCTTGAAGTTTCACCTCGAGAGCTGCCATTTGATGTATTTATTGTGTTTGTCCGTTTGTTTGTTTATTTGTTTGTTTATTTGTTTGTTTGTTTGTTTGTGTGTTTGAGGCTACTCTTTTGAGGTTGGCTTCAAGTGAAACCAACAGGACAACCACCATTTCTCGGGCCCCTCATTTTGACACACGTCAAGCACCCTTCTTAGCGCTTTTTAAGAGCGCATTGAGACTTCGCGCTGTTGGTTGCCTGATGCAGAAATCCGCGCACGTTCTTCCTCCCCTGCAAATTAACATACCCATTTGGAGGTGGCTCAAAACCAATAGAATCCCATTTTGGGGTAGGTGCACCACCCATTTTAGTCTATTTTAGCGGGGATTGGGATGTGCACTGGGGGTGTGGGATTTTGAACCATGGCCATTTGGGTCCCCCCCAAGAAAAGAGACGACCCACCAAAATGGTGGTTTCTTTCCTCTTTCACTCCAGAGCAACCAACAAGGGGGTACAGGCCTCCAAAAAAATGACACACCCATGTTTAGAGGCATTTCCTTTGGGTGACCCCCAAAAGGCTTTTGTGAGCCATGGAATCCAGTTTACCGGTTTCGTATGGTTCGAAGGCCCCCCAAAAACGAGACAAACCCTTTTTGCTTATGGATATCCACAGTCACCGATCGGTGGGATTGGTGACTTATACCATTTTTCTTGATTGCTATTGGGTTGGATCTTTAGACTTTAACTTTTCGGGAAATCAATGGGTTTTCCATTAAACCCGCCAAAAAAGTAAAACACTCTTTGCAGAGGGTCCACAGCAACCAAGTTGTCATCTACCGATCAAAGGGCCTGGAGTCTCCTTTTTGAAAGGGGTCATTACCAAAAAACATGGGGGGCACGGACCCATCTTTTTAGCGTCATGGAGACTGCAGGTGGATGTTTGTTTGGTCACCCCGCGGGTCTCGGGCAATTCGTTGCCCGTCTCAATCGAGTTCCATGAGTTGACCTGAGCTGATGGAGCCCCACTGGCAGAAAGCTCAGGCGATATCCCCAACAGCTCCCAGAACCCTCCCAGAACCCTCCCACAACCCTCGCAGAACCTCGTGGAACCCCGGTGGAACCTTTTGGTGGAACCCACCTCAGAAGCGCCCCGGACCCCCGGAGCCAATCAAAGCTTTCCGCTGTTGGGGAAAAAACGACCTGCCTGGAGGCTGCCTAAGGACCGGAAATAAAAAAAATGGGGCCACCAACCATTATTTTGGGTAACCGACCAACCATTTTTTTTTAAGGGCCAGAAGGAGACCCTGGAGTTTGTGTGAAGCTTGCCAAAGGAATTGTTGCAGCCAGAATTGAGGTGCGGGTATCCGCTGTCTTTTCAATTGCATTGTTTTGGGTGGACAATTTCAATGCTTTGACTATGCCTCAACTCCACCCGGTTTCTCCCAAAAGTTGCACTTTGGACAGCAAGGTTTGTGCTTTTGGCTTAAATGTGGGTTTCGTTCTGGTAGGAAACAAGGCGAAACTCCGCACACCTGTGTACTATAAGGCCCTTACGTCGAATGAAGCTGTGAGATACTACATGGCGAATCGGTCTTACCGAAGCAAATGGGTGTGTCTATTTTTTGGTTGGATCCCCCAAAACGGTTTTTTCCTCTTTTGTTCGGGGCATTCGGGAGCAAGCCTAGGAGCGGTGTGACACGGGTGTGTCATTTTGAGGGGACCCACATAGCTGGCGCAACAGTTTGGCTTTTGGATTCCCTTCCACCCCCCCACCACATCTCTTCCCCCCACCACATCTCTCCCCCCGCCACATCTCTTCCCCCCCCGCCCCCTTCTGGCCCCCCCCTTCCCCCTGTTGAACCCAGAAAGTGTATCCCCTGCCAACCTTCGCACCGCCTGAGGCAAGGCGCAAGGAGAAAAAAGGCCGACGTGAGGATGCCACCCTCGAGATGGGCGGCTCGTGTCTATATATACATATAGAATTATTACTATTATTATTATTATTATTATTTTATTATTATTATTATTATTATTATTATTATTATTATTATTATTATTATTATTATTATTATTATTATTTATTATTATTATTATCATTATTATTATTATTATTATTATTATTATTATTATTATTATTATTATTTATTATTAATAATGATAATAATAATAATAATGATATAGTTTTGGCGCTATACTTGGATGCTCGTTATAAGTGGTGATCGCCAAAATGGGGATATAACCCCCTTACAACAAGTTGTCAATTTCATTGAACGGGGAACTTATAAGTGAGTTGCAACAACTTGCTAACTTGGCCGAACACCCAACTACTCCCGTGTTGGTGGTTTTTGAACAGAAACCAACAGGAAACCCACAATTTGTTTGGGGTGTCCCCTAAAAAAGACAGCCAAATGGGTGTATCAGGGGATTGAAATCCAAACCATGGCGGTTTTCCTTTTCGGATTTCCGGCTCACCTTGGGGTGAAAGGGGTGCCCGGAAACAACACACACAGAGACAACATCTTTCTGGGCGGATCCCCCTGCCAACAACGAATTCCAAAATCCGGTGGGCGCCTGGCTCGCAGATACGGACTGCAGTGCTCAATCGACTGCTTGTGATTCTCCCCTGCGTTGGCTCGAAAGGCCGGTGGATAAGCCCTCGCTTGCTTGATGAACAAGATGAAATATGTCCAACCGGCGGTTGACACCTTGTGATGGAAGCGTTTCATTGTCGTTTTTCTCGAAAAGATGCCTCTTTGACCTGGCTACGGCGGGCTACTGCGATAAACTGCAGGGGCAGGTTGGACTGCGCTGATGCAGCTTCCAACAAAACGGGTTCCAGTTTGCACCATGTGTGGATCCGATCGAGCCCATTTGACGTTTGATCAAAGTTTCTGCATGGAACTACGCTAATCTTCCGCTTCTCTTTCCCCTACTTCAATCATTCGCTTTTTCAGGGTATAGCAAGGAGGTGTTTATCGTGGAAAACCAATAGGTTTTTCAAAGCATACCAACTCAAGAAGGGTCGCTGGTATTTGGAGCTTGCGAGGGTTCCCAGATCCCTTGAGGAAACTAGACATGCGCAATCGCCGTGGTTCATTTGTTCGAACCCCCTCGGCCTTGTCTCAAACTAGGGGAACTGAAGGCCTCCCCGAGTTCATGTTCACTTTCCTCACGTTTTGGGTTTGGTTGAAGGCCTTTTGGGTCCCAGAAGTTTTGACCCAACCCCAGAAAATGGTGGGATTTGGAAGCAAAAAACACAATGCCCCGAAGTTTTTCCCCCTCAAAAGTTGTTCCTAGACAAGTTGGGAAGCACTTCTTTTGGCCAGACTCAAGGGAGCGCCAGGGCCGAGCCTTGTCCACCTGGGCGCGGCCGCTCGGTGCGGTTCGGTTTTCTGCGGTGTGAAGCGGAGAGCATGGAAGCAAACTGGGGAGTTTCCGTGTGTGTCGGGGAAAAAGAAAAAAACTGGGGTAGCCTGCCAAAGCAAAAGCCTACAACCTACTAACCTAACAACCCAATAACCTATGCCTATAACATATATGTTTAGTTTCCTTTTAGTCTCTCTTTGAAACCCCTCCCACAAGGGTTCCCTCAAAAGAGACGCCCGGATGTTTTCTTTTGGTCGCCCTGGGGCCTAGACTCTACGAAAAATTTAGGGTGGACTTGCCACCTGGTGTTCCCTTTCTTGTGGAACTCCTTACCTTTTGCCGGAGACCACCCTGCCCACTTCTCGCAGGATGGGTTGCTTTGTCCGGGATTCCGAATTTCTACGTCTTGAGAGGAATGAGATTCTAGGTCCCCCAGCTGGGTGCCCGACCTCTCACCCCACTTTTTTGGTTGGAAGGGTTCCCCTACTAAAA